ATACTAAAATTGCTACTGGAAGAGCTTCAATACATCAACTTAAAGTTTGAGTTTTTCTAGTATCTAATATATTTTTATATATCTTTGTATTAGAGTGCATCAAACGCCCCATACTTTCAAAAACAGATATGAACAGATATTATTTAAACTTTATATAAGTTCTCTCAAGCAACTCTGGTAAATTTAAATGTTAAAAGTAACTATATTTAGGGGAGGCCACCTTAAGTCTGAAATTTGCAACAAGACCATAATGTTCTAAAAAGAAATTTCGAATGTTTATTATGTTGGGTCTCAAAAGAAGCAAAATGTTGCAAAAATTTGAAAAATATTTATCTTTTTTTAATTTAAAAAACTGGAAAAAAAATTAAACCAAAACCATTTTTTTGTTAAATAATAGTTAAATAATTGTGCAATAAAACTTAAAATAATATTTGAACAAAATAATTGTTTTTAAAATTTTTATAAAATTTCGCTTCTCCTGAGACCCAACATGACATACATTTTAAAAAACTTTTTTTTTTTTTTTTTTGGCATTTAGGGTCTTATTCCAGATTTCAGACTTGAGGTAGCCCCCTAAATCTAGTTACATTTTGAAAAAATTTAACAGAGTTGCTTTTGAGAACCAATATAAAGTTTTAAAAATAGGTACATATCTGTTTGTGAAAGTATGGGGCATTTGATGCGACCTACTATGTATGAAGAGCATTTATTGTAACACATTTAAAAAAATATATATATTTTTATTTCGTTTGAAAAAGGGTGGACTTAGGTTGGCTTTTCAAAATTTAATATGAAATATATTGTTGAAATGTGTTTATTAATTACAATGGGTATAAAATGTTCAAAAAACACTTAGAATTAGACTTAAAAATATGCGAAATAATGAACTAACCATAACCGTATAATACAGGTCATGGTAAGTCTATTCCACTCGACCATTTTTATACTTGTTCTTTATATAGTTGTTTTATTTCAATAATTTTTAGTAAGTGGCAGAAAATAAAAATCTGTTAAATCTTTGTTTTGAGTTAATGATTAATGTTCAATAATTTATAACTTTATATTGAAAAATTGTAAATTTCTATAAAAAAATGGATACAGGCTTATAGATTTTTTCTTTAAGTTTCTATTAAATTTTTTCCTAACTGTCGGCATATTAAGACCTCTGTACCGTTATTTAATTTTAAAGAAAATAAAAGTTTGAATGTTAAATCTTTTTTTCCTATAAGAAAAAAAGTTGTTTCTTTTGTGTGTGTTAAATGTGCAGACTTGACTAATTACCTTAGCATAACTTAAGTATCTCTGTCATTTGCAAAATATTTCTACGGCTGTTTTGATGTTTATTGAAGTTTTAGGCTTTTTTAAAAACTCTCAACCTTTTGTTTGTTATAGTATATAATTTATATGTTATGTATATAACATCAATAGAACTTTAAAAATGTTATATTTTATATTTTAAGGATTTGAAGCATTGTGTAATCTGTAAATTTTTAACACTATTTAATAATCAAATGACAGAATAACTTTAAATAAATGCTATAAATCAAAATTAAAGAGATTTTGCCGCAATCCAATTTTTACAAAAAAACTTTATTAAAGTAAAAATATCTATAAAACTTCAAAAATGTTTTATTTTGTATTTTAAAAATAATAATTTGGAAATCCAAGGACTGAAAGTCCTTGCATTTTTAAAGAACCACTGCATTTCACTTATGAACACTGCATGCTAACCACTTCGGCCACTTCGACGTATTTAAAAAAATGTTGTGAAGTAAAAACTAAAAATGTGTCATGGTGCCCCACTCTCCCCTATATATATATGTATATATACATATATATATATATATATATATATATATATATATATATATATATATATATATATATATATATATATATATATATATATATATATATATATATATATATATATATATATATATATATATATATATCAGGGATGCAGAATCCTAAATAGACTCTTGCTTTAAATCTTTAATAATTTTTGGCCTCTGTTGTCAAGAAGCTCTAAAAATTGTAACTTACAGCCTATAAAAAGAAAAAAAAGTGACTTACGTCCTCTAAAAAAAGTGACTTACGGCCTACAAAAAGAAAAAAAAATTATGAGTTTTAATGACTTAAAAACCTATTGACTTTTAGCCAGAGTCCGTAGTCCTTGAATCCTTGTTTCCATTAAACATAAGGACTCAGGATTCAAAAGTTGCTTGTTTCTCTGATCTTAAAGACAATTTTTTAAATTTTTTTTGCCAAAAGTAGTCTGCTAGCCTCTACATTTTTAGAGCTCCTAGATATCAAAAACCAGAAAGAAAAAACCATTTTGTGACCTTCAATTTTGGAATCTTTTTTGGAACTCCACATCTCTGATATGTATATATATATATATATATATATATATATATATATATATATATATATATATATATATATATATATATATATATATATATATATATATATATATATATATATATATATATATATATATATGATATGTGTATATATATATATATATATATATATATAATATATATATATATATATATATATATATATATATATATATATATATATATATATATATATATAACAGAGATGTGGAGTCCCAAAAAGATTCCAAAATTGAAGGTCACAAAATGGTTTTTTCTTTCTGGTTTTTGATATCTAGGAGCTCTAAAAATGAGGAGGCTAGTAGACTAATCAGAAAGAAATAATCAGAAAATGATTATTTCTTTCTGATTTTTGATATCTTTGTATTTTGATATATATATATATATATATATATATATATATATATATATATATATATATATATATATATATATAATATATATATATATATATATATATATATATAGACACACCCACACACACACACACACACAAACACACATACACACATACTTTTTTTTTAAAGTTTATTTTAGTTTTTAATTAGTACATATTATTTGTATTATTTTTTTTTAATTTTAGAAATAGTGTAGAATTAATATTACTTTTTCATCTTAATATATATATATATATATATATATATATATATATATATATATATATATATATATTTTAGGCTTTCCCAGGAAAGGCGTGCGGTCGCACGCCTTGTTTCTCCACGCATAGAATAAATTTTTCAGAAAACGTGACCGCGGCAATATTTCGCGGAAAAGCAGAACTTATCCACAAACAATAAAAAATAATACTAAAAAAAGGAAACAAATTCTTAACAAATTATAAAATTGAAATTAGATGTAAAAAAAATATTTTAATAATAAAAAAAAAAAATTAACAAAAAAAATTTCTTTTTAACAACAAAAAAAAAGTCTTTTTAAACTGTTTTTGTTTTCTTTTTTTAGGGTTGCTATTTTCAGCTACGAAATTTGATACAAGTCAAGGAAAAGACGACTATAAGTTATAAAAATTTTACGAAAATAAAAAGACTATCTAATCAGACAATATAATAAAAAACTGATTCATTATTTTTACGCAAGATAAATTTGGTTAAACTTTTTTATTTAATTTAGTTTTTACGGAGGTTTATGCAAATGCGATGACGTTATTCCCCAATATTTAGACAAGAAAATAAATTGCTGTTTATTGTTAAATATATTATTTGAGATTTTAAACTTAACGAGATTTTAATGTGCAAAAAAGTTCTCTCGACTTATTCTAAGCTGACTATACTGAGTCAATGCTTGCTTTTTATTACGTTGAAATTATTCAATTGCATAATTTTGTAATTACGAAAGAAGTTGAAAAAATAATTGCATTGCTTATGTAGTCGTTGTTACGAAAACAGTTCCCTCGGGACATTTATTTTTAACACTCTTTCACAATGTCAATGGTTGCAAAATAAGCAACTCAATCGTTTGACAATAAAATTTTCTTTCATTTGAAAATTAAAAAAAACATTTTACAAACAAATAGCAATCATTTTCGCGCTTTCTTATGTATCAATATATTTAAACATTTAAATGTATTTAGGAAACATTTAAAAACATAAATTTAAAAATTGTTTATAGTTTTAGCGTAAATTTAAAAGTATTACTGACTGATAAAAGTCATAAACAAATTTTACATTAAAAGGTCTTTTTATTTTCATTAAATTTATATAAACAATAATCTTTTTCTTTTTCCTTGATTTGTATTGATTTAATTTTTCATAGCTGAAATAACTACCACCCTAAAAAACAAGAAAAAATAAATAAATGAAATATAGGTAAATCTTTGTTTTATTAATATTTATTATTTTTTTAATTTTAAAGCACAAACAGATTTCTGTTATTTACTTTAGCATTGCTTGTATTTTTGTGGTATTTTCGTTTAGCTTTGTTTTGGCACGAATTCTTGAAACGCATAATAATAAAACGTGGTCAGTTAGTCAGAAAAGTTTATTCTATGCAAGGACAAATTAGCCTTTCCTGGGAAAGCCTGATATACATTTAGCAATGCTGACTTGATAGTTGAGCATGTTTTTGCTGACCTTTGAATTTTAAAACCTAATTTCGTTTGTTATTTCGTATAAACTAAAAATGGCAAAATGAATGTTTTACTTACATTCTAAATAAAATAATTAAAGTAAAAACTGTAAAATTTATTTTAATTCTAAATAAAAATGATTTTTTTTTAAAAAAAACAGCAAAACAAACATTTTATTTTAATTCTAAATAAAATACTGAAATTAAAAACAGAATAAACAATGCTTTTTTTTTTTAATTTTTAATAAACTAATTAATATATATATATATATATATATATATATATATATATATATATATATATATATATATATATATATATATATATATATATATATATATATATATATATATATATATATATATATATACAAATATACGCAAACATTTTTTTTCAATGTTTATTTTAGTGTTTAGTTAGTAAATATTATTTGTATTATTATTTTAAATTTTAGAATTAGTGTAGCATTAGTATTACTTGATTATATTTTAATTAATTTTAATTAATAGTTGGGGATAATTGCTACACGTAATAAAAGAGCGGAAAAGATAACTGATTTAAGTGGTAAAAAAATTTTTCTTTTGTTATGAGCATTTTTCTATAACTATGTCATAAAAAGTTAAATATTTGAGAAAGAATTATGTTGTAAAATAATTAGTTGTTTAATTGTTAGGTAATCCAAATATTCACATAGCTGCTCTGCAAAACTTTGTCAAATCAGGCCCGGAAGGAGAACCATCTCTTCAGAACAGTCTTGATATGGCATTACAATTTTTAGGGTAGAATTTATTTTGCAACTGCTCATATTAATGAGTGCTACATTTTTTTGTGCCATATTTAATTAATTAAATGAATTATAATTTTAGCCATCTTCCAAAACATGCCAGTAGAGAGATTCTGATTGTGTTTGGTAGTTTAACAACCTGTGATCCTGGTGATATATTTACTACTATTAATGTAAAAATGAGTTATACTTTTACTTTTTTAAATAAAATTATAAAAAAAATTTGTTAAATAATTTTAAATTATTGACCATTTGTAGAATTTAAAAAATGAAAACATACGTTGCTCAGTACTAGGATTATCTGCTGAAATTAAGCTTTGCAAAACTATTTCATCTGAGACCAATGGTTTGTTTAACAGTTTTTTTTTAGTTTCTTTGAGTAACCTTTATTTTGAATCATAAATATTAAACTTATTTTTTAAAACTATTTTAGGAATATACAATGTGATCTTAGATGAAAAACATTGTAATGATTTGCTTCTGGAGCATATTCGTCCTCCTGCTGCAAAGGTTTTTAAAGCTACTTTGGTTTAAAAGTTTAAAATTTGATAATATGTAAAATCATTAAGCAAAGTTTTACTTTAATAATAATAATAAAATAATATAGTCAATATAAGTTTTTAATAACATATTACATATATTAGTTATTCCAAAGTGAAGTTTCTGTAAAGTTCAAATTTAAGTCTAATTGAACTTAAGATATTGTTTTTTTTTTTCAATTTTAGTTAAACGTTGAAGCTTCTCTTGTTAGAATGGGTAGGATACTTAAAAATATTTTCATAGTTAATTTTATGTAATATGTTTTATTAAATTTCAGAGTTTAATAAAATTTTCAAAATATTTTTAAATAAGCTAAGTTGTGATTTTTTATAAACTTTGCACTTGAAATAAAAGTATTTTAAGTTGAACAAATCAGAAATTACATTTTTGCTTCCAAAACCTTATGGAAATCTCTGTTTTCGTAATATGTTGGTTTCTCCTTTTGCTTTATTTCTGTCATGGATTATGACGCTAGACATAATGTGAACATTTAATATGAGACCATTTGCAAAGTTAAATGGAAAAGTTTACAAAACCTAATATAGACTTTTGGTCAGTTTTAAAGATTGTCTGTTAAACCAAAACAGCTAGTTGATGTATATACTCTCACTGCGCATATCTATTATAAAGTCAATAGATGTGTGTACATCTCCTTAAAAATTTATTTCAACTGAAATTAAAATAATAGAGTAACAGACCATAAGTACTTGTACATTAACCTCAAATTTAGTTTCTGTCTGTTACTTATTTCAAAAAAATTTAGCTACCAATAAAATCATAAATCATATAAAAAAATAATTTTAACAAAATTAAACAGTTTAAATTAAAATTAATTATAAAAAATAACATTAGTTTTATTCTCCTCCTAATAATATATAAGCGCCTGTTTAAAAAAAAATATGTTTGCAGAATTTTTTTACATCTCTGTACCCCCTCTTTTTACATCTTTGTACCCCCCTCTGCATGCCTCTGTATATCAATAATTTATACTAAAATACCAAGTTAGTGATAATAAAAAATGTATTAAAGCTATAAAAACTGATAAATTTAATCTGCAAAATTTACGTTACAATTTTTACAATTGGCCACAATTGTTTCAATGACATTTCTTGTAGTACTTGATAATTTATTTAATATATAAAAACTTAAAATACAGGTAAGTACTAATTTTTAATTCATTTATGTAATATTTCAGTCTGATTAGCTTTGACCATACGTCAGACGTAAAATAAGTTACAATAAAAATTGTCACAATAAAAAAATTTATAAAAAAGAAAAAAAGCAGTTTATCTTTCTATTGTCCAGAAGACAATATAAAGATGAACTGATCCAAGGTAAAAACTATTTTGGTTTTTCAAATTTTTTTGAAGAGGTTCTCAACTATTCGATGCAATTTTAACACTGTTGTCCAGAACAAATTACGAGATGAGGCATTTCCCACAAATAGGTGGGAAATGCCTCATCTCGTAATTTGTTCTGGCATAATTTATCTCAAGGGATTGTATTATTTTTCTTTTATGGTAGTGAGAATTAGGTGCAATTGTTTTTGGGTGCATCCAATTAAATATACCTTGGTTACTCATTTATGTAACCTAGGAGTATTTTAAACTAGGGGTGTCCCGCAAAACTTTTTTTTATTATCCGACCAGATATCAAATAAAAGTTAATATTGAATCTTCTTCAATACTAATTTCTTTTATTTCACCGTGAAGAAATGTCAGTTTCTTCATGTTGAAATAAAAGATATATAAATGAGTGATAAACTGATGTATTTGTTGCGCCTATATAATTTTAATATTATTTTAATAATAATAATATTATTAAGCAGAAACTATTAACATAGATTTTTTTTAAATATAGCATTTCTAGATTTCCTTCAATTTTCAAATAACATGAGCATGAAATATTAAGTATGTAAAAAAACAGATAAAGTTATTATCCGACCAGATATCGGATACCAAATAATACTCCTATACGACCTGGATACTTATCCTGACTTAGCTTATCCGGACACCCCTATTTAAAATCACACAAAATAACTTAATTAGTAATTCTATTGTGAGTTTGTCAATTAAAATAAATAGAAGAATTAGTCATGATCTATAGTTTTCTAGATTTTATTTTATTTAAATAATTTAAATTTTTTTTTATTAAAATTTTAAATTATATAATAATATTTTGAATTATAAAATAATAAATTCAAAATGTTAATTTATTTTATTAATAAAGTTTTAAATTTTGAACTAGTTAGTTGCAAATTTTAAATTAAAGTCTAAATACAAATATAGAAAGAAGTTGAAAATAGAAAAAGCATTTAATAGGGTATGGTAATAAAAATAATGGTGTCAAAAGTTACATATATATATATATATATATATATATATATATATATATATATATATATATATATATATATATATATGTATGTATGTATATATATATATATATATATATATATATATATATTATATATATATATATATATATACATACATTTGCTTAAGTCGTGTAAAATAAAGTTTACTTTATTACATTCAGGTTTTCCTCAACACATTTCTAATACCTATCCAGCTCTATGCCTTTGGTAAGTTTATATTTTTATTATGTTAGTTTTATTATTCTTTTAATAAATAATATTAAACAACCTTAAATTGAAAAATTACCTAAATAATTTTAAAAACTAGTTTTATAAATTTATGAATAAATGGTGTATCAATTATCTTTTAAAATTATTGGTGTAATCCCTTGTCATTGTGTATCCTTTGTAAATTGCTACTTTTGACAGAAAATTTTTTGAAATTGTAATTATTGGTTCATCCCATCAAAAATTTTTATTAACATTTAGAAAACCTAAAGAAAATTATTTTTTAAGTTATTATCCAAGACTACTACCCATTTCATTTATATATTACCAAGCCTTCCCAGTAAGCCCGCCTTGTTCGACCACGTTTAAAATAATTTTTTCAGACACACTGACCATGACAGTTAGCATTTTATAACTTTTAAAGTGTTTCAATGATTTGCAGCAAAACGCTAAACTTATCTTCTGAGAAGAAAAAAATACTTTAATAAGGTAATAAAATTGTAACAATATATCAAATTTTAGTTAAATTAACTAGTAAAATTTAATGACTAAATAAATATAATTAAATAAAAAAAAAAAAAATTTTAATTTTTGTACAACTTTATGATTCTTTTTTAGGGTAGTTGTTATTTTTAGCTTCTGAATTTGATACAAGTTAAGGAAAATTCTATAACAATTTAACAACAATTTAAAGTTTTAATATGCAATTTATTCAGGACTTATATCAGTCCCTATTATTAAGAAACTTATTTGCTATGTATGCTGGAACCATGAGAAAATTTGTTAATTTTTTTTCCTTACGTTAATTTGTTTTCACATCGATTTTCTTTTAAAAATGTTTTTGCTATATTTGACATTTTTCTCAATACTTATATAATAGGAAAATAAGAAAATAAATTGTTATTTTATTGCAAAATATATTATTTGTAATAATGCCATTAAAAAATTTAATATTAAAAAGTATTAAATTTTGTAATGACAGAAGAAATTAGATTAAAAAATAGCACGGTTTCTTTTACAAATAGATTTACCACATTTGATGCCTGTCTGAAACTGTTTCTTTATATTGCCCAATTTCCAACATAAATATGAATAACTAGAGATAATGAACATAATTATTTCTCTGTTTGAAAAATGTATTTTAAAACAAAGTTCAAATAGACTCCTAAAAATTTTGTTAAAAAAGTTCAGTAAATTAACAATGCACTAGCCCACAAGCTTTTGTAGTGTCGTCAATAACAATAGTTCATCAGAAAATAAACTATCGGGTTTAAATGCACTATTTGGAGAATGTAATGAAAGTGCAGATTATTTCAATGGGGGTAGTAAGAACAATCTAATTGTTTATATTTGAAGATGTAATTATATAATGTATAATATTTATAGTTATATAATATTTTATATTTGAATATATAATTATATATTTTATATTATTTTATATTAGCAGAAAGCACCCCGTAATACGGGTTGTTAGAAAATTAATTATTAATAATACGGGTTATTAGTATAAATCATTAATATCAATTTATTATTTTCTCTAATGAAATATAAGTTTATTTTATATATTTTTAGTTCTGCTCACTTTTATTGTTCTTGGCTTCTTAACTCTTACCTTTATTTAAAGATACATTTATTTTGATGTCGAACATTTTGCGCTAATCACAACAACCTAAATATATTATGACTTAAATTACATGCATAGAAGATTATCCATGTCTTGTTTTAAAATTGTGGAAAATTGTTTAGGTAACTAAGTTGTTTATAATTCTTTTTTACAAAAAGAATTTTTCTTAATTTTTATAAAAGTGATGAGTGAAAAACAAATATCACAAAAATTATACCTAAATTTATATGTAAACGAATTGTTTTGGATATCTGGAAAGACTATAACTTAAAAAATATATCAGAAATTACGGAAAAGGCTCCCATAATATTAATGTTTATTACTTTAGCTAAAATATTAAAAAAAGAACTTTTTATTAAATTAGTTATTTAACAAAAGTAAAAAATGAAATCTGAATACTAATATAACTTACTTGATACTTCATTGATATCTAAAAATATTGACATGTTAATATAAAGATTTGAAAATGTTTGACCCAAGCAAAAAATAACTAAAAAAATAATTAGTTACCTGAAGAGACTAATGATCCCGATGAAACAGCTAAATAAAAAACATATCAAAAAAAGGTAATTTAATCCTGATTATAATGTTCAAATAAACAATATTTATTACTTGTCTTTTTTCAAGTAACAAATTGAAATAAAATGTTTTTCAAGTAACAAACCAAAAAAAAATGTATCAAGTTACCAGAAGTGGCGATGAAACAGTTGAAACAACTAAAGGAAAAATATATAAATATTTAAAAAATATGTATTTTGTTAAATCCTGAAGATAATGTTCCAATAAAAAATGTTTATTGCTAGTTTTTCAAGAAAAAAAAATCAAAATAAATGTATTATGTTACTTGGGATGGTCAATGCTGCAGATGACACAACTAAATGAAATAAATAAATCAATAAAGATAATTTTTTAGTAATGTTCAAATAAACAATAAATGTTCAAATAAATCTCTCTTCTTGTTTAATAAAATATGTTTAATGCTATTTCAATGCTATCTTCAAAAAAGCTGAGATAAAAAAGAAGCTTACTACTCTCAAATCTACAAAAATAACAAACTTACTGAGATCTATCTGTCTGTCTAAAAATTAACAAACTTACTGAGATCTATCTGTCTGTCTAAAAAATAACAAACTTACTGAGATCTATCTGTCTGTCTAAAAAATAACAAACTTACTGAGATCTATCTGTCTGTCTAAAAAATAACAAACTTACTGAGATCTATCTGTCTGTCTAAAAAATAACAAACTTACTGAGATCTATCTGTCTGTCTAAAAAATAACAAACTTACTGAGATCTATCTGTCTGTCTAAAAAATAACAAACTTACTGAGATCTATCTGTCTGTCTAAAAAATAACAAACTTACTGAGATCTATCTGTCTGTCTAAAAAATAACAAACTTACTGAGATCTATCTGTCTGTCTAAAAAATAACAAACTTACTGAGATCTATCTGTCTGTCTAAAAAATAATAATTAAGCAATAAAATCAAAACAAAAATAATCTTTAATAAAAATGTATTTGTGAATTTAATAACGTAATTGTTATTAAAGTTAGAAAACAATAAATTAAAACGATATCTATTGTAGAAAATGGTATTCCTACTTTAAACTAATTTGATAATTTAGTTAATAAATAATAAAACATACTTATTTCACTGTCAGTTTGCCTGTCTAAAAAATTTGATTCTCATTAATCCTTCTCCAAAGAAAAAATAATCTATAAATAATAAAATGAATTAAACTTACTAAATAGGTCTTCTAATGCTCCGAACTGTTCTGAAAAATAAAACAGTAGTTGTTCTAAAAACAATCACTGTTATAAAAGTATAATGTACTAAAAAAACTACTTTACCAGTCATTTTTATTTTTTAAAAACTTCTACTAAAAAAAAGAAAAAAAACTAATAAAAATAATCAAGAACAAATAAAACATTGATAAATAAATAAATAAACAACATCAACTCTTTGCGAACAATAATAAAAATATATCAACTCTAATCAACTACTCAAATTTGCTTGCAGATCTTGCTCGAAAGACCGCGTGGAATATAAAACTGCGTATAGAAAAGCCTAGAAACTACTTTAAAATAGAAAAACCTAGAAAATGACATAAGTCGACTATTAACTACTACTATTAAATAAGCGTATTAATATTATCAGATTATTATAATTGAATATATATATAGTGTTAATGATTTTTTATTTTTTGCATGAAAAACTTGTTTAAATAAAACAACAACAAATAAATACAATAAGTTTCTCGCATTCCTGTGCATTGAATAAAACAGTAAAATTTAGCAAAAACATTTGAAAAAGAAGTTCTAAAATTGTCGTTATTTCTAGCGCAAATAATAGTATTTTCTTAACAAGCTGGTTGACTAAAGTCGCCAATAAATTTTATATCAAAAAATGTTTTTATTTTCATTATATTCTTATCTGCTTTTTTCATCGACTAGTATCAATTTTGGTAACAGAAAATTACTAATGCCCTAAAAATAAAGGAATACAAAAACAGTAAAATATTTAGGTATATTACTTTTTGGACAAAATTTTACTTTTTTTAATTTAAATTTTTTTTTTAGTTTATTTTATTTAGGTTTTCTATTTTGTATAGTATTCATTTCTTTTCTTCGAGTATTGTTGTTTTATTCTCTATAGTTTCTTATAACTTTATTTTGCCACAAATTCTTTAAATGCTTACTATATAAAAATGTGGTCAAGTTGTCTAAAAAAATTACTTATAATGCGGGCGAACAAGACATGCGACTGCATGCGCTTCCTAAGAAGGTTTGTATTACACATGATTATGATTAGGTTCATTTAAGTTTATATGCAAGTTTATAGAATTTTACATATATTTTATTGTATAACAAAAGTATTACTTATAAAGAAATTTAATGTAAGTTTTATGTAATGCATTTTTCTTAAAATGAGCATGTTAAACTGTAATATCTGCCATGTATAACTTGTAAACTGTTGCGTAATAAAAGCTATGAGTTGCAGGGTAACCTTTATGTAGAGCATTATTAGAAACTACTACAGATTATGCCTTATATTGTTTTCATATTGCTTTATAATACTTTTCAATTGCATTTCCTAATCTCAACTTCTTCTGTTACTTCACTTTATACTTTTAAATTTTGTAAAAAACAAGTTCCAAAATATAAAATTATATTTTTATCTTGAAAAAATCAAATGGATCATAAAAACCCTCATCATTTATTTCATCATGTATTTATGTATTTAAGAAACTTACAATAAAGGTTTCTTAAATAGATTGTTTTCATTTTATGGTTTTAATATTTTAATATCTTTACCTACATAAATGTTTCAAGTTCTTTACCTACATAAATGTCTGCGTAACCAAAATAAGTTTTGCAAAATTTGTTTATTTAATGTTTTATTTTATTAATAATTTAGTCTTATATGTTAATAATTATTTAATATTTCAGGAGAAATTATTCATTAACAGAGGCATGCTCTGTATCTGCGTGTGATTTTTTAAAGAAAACCTTTTACATTTATTCTTTTTTACGGGGGGCTTATTATTTGTTTTATTATTAGGAGGGGCTAATGAACGTTACTATATCTTGAAAAGTTGATGTAGCTCTGTTGATTATTTGAAAATAGCAGGCGGTAATATTTTGCACACTTGATGTTCTCTTTCTTATAATCGTAATTTTCAGATGAATTTATTGTATTAGTGAATTTATCTTTATAGATATAAAGTTAATCTTAAATTGAGTTAAATAATCTAAATAATTGATTTAAATTAAATAATTTGATTGATTTAGTTAACTATATTGCAAACCTTTTTTTAATAAAAATGAATTATTTAAAGTACACTTTTGTTTTTGATTTAAGATGTTTAATTTTGTAAGAAAAAAATTGATTTAAGATTTTAGTAACAGTTGGAAACTAATTTTGAGTTATTTACACGTATTTACAGCCGATTACTCTATTATTTTAGTTTCTTTCAATTATTTCAATAGTATTGGTTAGTTGCTATAAATTTATAGGGAGAGTGCAGTGGTGTACCTTCATGGTACATGAAGGTACACCATTTACCAGTGGCATGGGACTTATTTTCTCCAACTGAAATTAAAAAAAAATGTTTGTCAGTAGCCAGGCAGAACAACCAAACAGTTTGTTACTTATAAAAGTGTGTTTATTAATATAACTATTTTTTAATTGAAGTAGAAAAGCATCTAGAAAAAAAGATGTATGTATGTGTATGTATGTATGAATACATACATACACATACAAAAAAAGAATAACCTTTATATAAAGTTTAGATGTTTTTTTTTTTGTAAGGATTATGTATTTAAAAGTATTTTTATCAAGATTTATTAAAAGGTGTAGTAAAAGTAAATTATTATTTCTTAAAACACTTAAAAAAATTTTATTATTTCTTATCCACTTAAAACATCTTTTTTGGCTCAACAATTTTATCTGCTATTCATTTTCAAAATTACTATCATAGTGTCATAATAACAAATTAATTTTGTGGTACAATAATTTCATCCTGAGGTTTGGTTGACAAAATGTTCAATATTATAAACAAATACTTTCATTTTTGAAAATAATATTTGCTCTTTTTTTTTTATGGCTGATTTGTGACTCGGTCCTCCCTTTACTGTGACTGTCAATATCTACTAAAGATAATTAATTCATAATGTAGTTTTCATGGCTGAGTTTTATAAAATTGATAAAGTTTTAAGTTAAATTTTTATTATATCAATAATATAAATTTCAAAAAGTTCTGTTAAAAATTTTTTTTTTTTTTAAATAAATTATTATTGTTTAAAAAATTTTTATTAACCTTAATAAAATAATCAGATAGACAATGTTGAATTTTATCTTAATTTTGTAGTCACATTGAACTGAAAAATATGCAAGGTTTCAATTGCACTGGCTACTTTTGTCCTCAGGTCAGTGTTCACAAACTGTATATATTACTTCAAATATATCTAAAAGAAACCTTTGCAATAAAAGTTTAAGATTATTTGAAGTTAATTTTTTACAAGATTTTTTATTATAAAACTTTTAGGTTAATGGAGACTAGTTAATGTTCTAGGGAAATTCTTCTTTATAGTAAATCCAGAATTTGTGTGCGTTCTAAATATTTATTTGTGTTGTTAAAATAATTTTTCTTTAGTGCAAGAATAAATATTGTGAACTTCCTGTTGAGTGTAAAGTTTGTGGTGAGTTGAATATTATGGTTGTTTTTAGTTACATTAAAGGATTACTTCTTGTTACTTTGCAATTAATTCAAAATTATTCTAGGAAAGATTTTATTATACTATTAATGCCTTTTAAAGGATTAACATTAGTCTCTGCTCCTCATTTGGCACGTTCATATCAGCATCTCTTTCCTTTACCACCATTTGAAGAAGTACGTCGAATTGAGACTGCAGCTAATAAAAATAGGTATTTTACTCTGATTAATTCAGTTTTTTAGTTCTTTTTTTCACCATTCTTCGGTTTGTGTTTACTAAATAATGCTTTAGGTCTAATACAATAAAATTTAACAAACATGAGCTCCAATCAGAAGTAACTTGACGATGGGTCATATCAATTTAGAACTAACTTAACGATGGTTCATATCTTTATATTCAGATACCTATACTCTCGTCAATCAAATGCATTTTTTCTTATTATGAACAAAATAGACAAATAAGCTAAAAGAAAAAAATATTTTAAAAGCTTGGTGCTTATTAGTGAATTATACTGTAGTTTAAGTGAGTTAGGCTGTGTGGTTGGTTAATATGTTAATATTTAAATCCTTTTTTTTTATGTTTGTTTAATGTTTAATTGCTTCTAAAACAATTAAATTTTGTTTGATTTTTATAAGCAGGTCTTTTTTTTAAAAAAATTTCTAAATAAAAATAGTTTGACACTTTTATGGCACCTAAAAACAAATTTTAAAATGTATATAAATATTTATACATTTGTTAGGTAATTTTGTATTAGTGTCTTTATAGCAGATTATATTGAAAGTTTTTTGATTTACATATATTTAGCATATGTCAAGGATGTCAAAGGAACTGTATTGATGCCATTGTAAGTGAATATAAGTTTGTTTGTTTTTTAGAATTTTTCTTTAAAATGTGTACAATATGTAAAGTAAAACATTCTATTACAAAAAAGCACCTAAAAATTCTTATATTAAAAGGAGGGTTGTATAAAACAAACACTGCTACAAAAGTGTTTACTATAAATATGGAAGCTAAGAAAATTATGCTGAGTATTTGTAGAAAATTGCCATTTATCAACATTGATGTTCACACTTACTATTACTAGAGTATTTATAGAAAATTCATAACACTTGAGTCAATATAATGATTGTAATATAATTATGGAAATAATTTGTTGTCTAAATGATTTAATTTGCATTAAAACTTTAATATGCATTAAAAATAATTAAATTACATTATAATTAATCATTTTATTATTATACTAGGTATATATCTGTAAAGAATGTAAAGAGATGTTTTGCAACGATTGTGATATGTTCATACATGAAACTCTTCATACATGTCCAGGATGCACTAGCAAGCAGCAGTTATGATAGCGTTACTACTTAAGAATGTGGTCAAAATGATGGAAGTGATACTTGTGGCAATCACGAAACAAGCATGCTTTGAAATATTTAGAAATTAGAATTGTATTGAGCAGGCTTTGAAATACCGTATTTTGAATTTTGAAAATTGAAAAGTTAAAATAAAAGTGAACCTGATTTTTAAAATCAAATACAAGTAATAATTTGTAAGTGATGTAAAAGAGTATATTCTTTATTAGTTTCTTGTTGATTTTTTCACCCATTCAATAATTCACCCATTCATAAATAATGTTTTTTTTTTGTTGTTGTTGTTTTTTATTATTTTTATTATTAATTATTGGTCCTCTTGAAAGTTTTTTGGAGTGTAATATCCTGCGATTATTTGCTATTGGCATAGTATATTTAAACAAATGTTTGTTGAGTAAATCCTCATTCACTAGAAAAAGAAAACTTAATAATAGAAAAATAAAAATTGTTTATAAATCTTGTATGTAGAAATTTTAAATTGTGTATACAAACAATGATCTAGGAAAAAATACTTTTGGAGATGAAGTGCAGTTGATAGGAGTTCCACAACTAGAAAATAGTGCAGGAAGTATTGTGGCAGAAGCTATATTTACCGCAGTTTATTAATGGAAAGCACTTGAAAAATTAAAACTATATCTTTTAATACTACTGTTGCATTTACTGGTCACTAGGTTGCTTATTTTATATACAAACATTAAACTAATCAAAATCTAGAACTGAAGATCATAATATAAGAAGTTAACTAAGTATTGCTAATCAACCTTCTAAACACCTTTTAGAGCAATTAAATATCCTAGAGATGATTGTAAAGAATTGATTAAATTTTGCTTGATATATTTGGGTTTTTTATCATCAAAAGGTTTTGTTTTTTTTATTTCAGTACCTTTCCAAAATTCTAAGTGGATAGCAAAAGTAATTTATTCTTTTAATATATTTGTTAAAAAGCTTTAAAATTTAGAGAAAAAAGTTCTTGAAAACATTTGCTTAATTATTATAAAAATCTATGTTAAAGCTTGGTTTGGAGAAATTTAAGGAAATAATGCAGGTACTTCAAGATGATGCCAATGTTTTGATTTTATTAATACAGAATAAACATGTTCCTCTACAGGCTTTTATTCAGAAAAGCCTGTAGTGGAACATGTTTATTCTGCATTAATAAAATCATTTTCATATTCATAATCATGTTCTGTATTAATAAAAACATTTGTTTTAATTTTTTGACACTTATAGGGACTTCCCTTTTTAAATATAGTTTTGTTCAGGATCTACTTTATACATGTTACCATCGCATTTTTTTTCCTTTTTCCTAAATTTTTAATAATTTCATTTAAAACCTTTTTTTTTTTTTTTGGTGGTGCCACTTTTGTAACTATCTGCAAAAAAGATCCAAAGTATTTTCTTTTGTTTTTTAGTAGTATAAGTGTAAGTATATGCGAACACATCACAACACATCACAACACATCACAACACATCACAACACATCACAACACATCACAACACATCACAACACATCACAACACATTACAACACATCACAACACATCACAACACATCACAACACATCACAACACATCACAAGTTTCACAACACATCACAACACATCACAAGTTTCACAACAGTAATATTCTTTTTTAGGATTAAATTCATTTGAAAATAAAACATTTGGTCAAATCATCAACTTATGATTTTTAATGACTGCTTTTTTTTTACAGTTGAACGTTTTAACTAAATCTATTTTGCAACTTTGTTTATCTTGATTTCTGCAGTTACTTTCTTGTTCATGGTAACAATATTTGTAAATAATATACTCACTAATTTTAGAATATGATACCTTGTTGGATTACCATTTAGCTATTGCTTTATGCATTTTTTTTTTTTTTTTTTTAATTCACCCCCCCAAGGCCACGAAAGCTGGTACAGTCAAGAAGGCTACTTTTAGTTGTATTTACAACCCTCTCTCAACTCTATAACTCTGAAACATAAACGTTGACAAACAAGGCCACTGCACAGAGACACAATTTGAGCGTGGTACTACCAGGAACATGGTGGAGATCAAACTCAGAACCTCTTCCTTATGAGGTGAGCGCTCTACCACTACACCACTACCACATACTACCTACTTTTCAAATAGAGGCTGCATTAAAAATGATGTTTGTTTTGGTTTTAATTTATCTTAATAATGTTTGCTTTTGCTTTTAGTTTAAGGTATTATGAGTACTTTTTATATTTTCTATTGCAGTTCCTCTAAACTTCCACTAAGTTTTTTTTTTTATTTTTTTTTTTTTTTTTTTTTTTTTTTTTTGTGAGTTAGCAATCCTAAACTTTGCTTTATGTTTATTGTTGCTGCAATGCAAAATTTTTGTTACTCTGATCTTGTTGAATTACTTTTGCTATTTCATTTACTTATGTTTAATAAATGATATAATATATTTGTAAATAGTTGCTTATTTATCAATAGCTTGTTGCTTAGTTGTTGTTTTTTTCTAGGTTTATTTTCTTTAGTTTTTAATTTTTGGTTATAAATTTATTTGTTTGTTGATAGGTGATAAAAATGCAGAAAATTATTTAATACATTTTTTTTAAAACCACAAAGCTTATATTTACTTACAAATTTTTAATTTTAGCTAGTATAAAATTTAGTATAAATAATGAATTTATTAAAGAAGATCTTAAGTTAAAACTTAAAATGAGGTAAATTATATTTTAATAATTTCACTGTTTTGAGTAGTTTTTTAATTATTTCACTGATGTTTTGATTTGTATTTTGATATTTTCACTGATGTTTTGGTTTGTATTTTGATATTTTCACTGATGTTTTGGTTTGTATTTTGATATTTTCACTGATGTTTTGGTTTGTATTTTGATATTTTCACTAATGTTTTGTTTTGTATTTTGATATTTTCACTGATGTTTTGGTTTGTATTTTGATATTTTCACTGATGTTTTGTTTTGTATTTTGATATTTTCACTAATGTTTTGTTTTGTATTTTGATATTTTCACTGATGTTTTGGTTTGTATTTTGATATTTTCACTGATGTTTTAGTTTGTATTTTAATCATTTCACTAATGTTTTTGGTCATTTTTTAATCATTTCACCAATGTTTTGTGTTGTAACTTTTGTGTTGTTTTATTTTTATTTTAATGATTATATTTTATTGTTTTTCTGTCATATTTTGGTGAGTTGTCTATGTTAAATGATAAAATATAAGTAGATCAGCTTAAAAAATTAATTTTTTATTATATTTGTGCAAAAAATTTGAGATTTTTTTGGAGTGTAATTGCCAATTAGCAAATGCAAGCATAAAGTGGGACAAAAAACTAAAATTAATTTTTTCCAATGCTTTTATTATTTTATTATTCTTACTTTTATTATTCCTCGTCTCTGTCTGTTATCAAATCTTGCACTTGATTATTGAGTCACTTACTGATGATAAATTTTCTTCAAATTTTGCATACATACTCTTGGTTGATGACAATACAATATTCAATTATTAGTTTTGCAATAATTCAATTAATTTAATTAATTTTAATTAAGTTTTTTATATGGAAAGAAAAATAATAACTTTAAAAATAAGTATATTATTTGTTTTCTACATATACGTGTGTTTAGCTTATTTGGATAAGGCCATTGACTTCATAAATATAATATCTGTGGTTCGAGACCCACCTCTAACTGAATTATTTTTGTTTTTTTTACACACGCATACAGCCAAATGTTAATAAAATAAAATAGTAATATCAGAAAAAATTGATTGCAAAATTTGTGTTTTAATAACATAAAACCATTGTGTTTTAAAAATTCGTTTTTAATTTTACTTGTTCATAGTTGTTATTTTAAATATCAAAATTGAAATCATTTTTATATATCTTAACTATGCCTTTAATATTTTTAGCAAAAATTTAGTAAAAATGGTTTTTTTATAAATTGCATCTAAGATACCTTGAGTTTACAATTTCTTGTTGTTGTTGTTGTTGTTATACAGCCTAGAAATTGTCACATTTTTCTTTGTGATTTCTTTAACTTAATCTTTAATGATTAGTTTTTTTTTTTTTAAGGTGTTAAAGCCTCACAATTTACAGATTTTTAATTAGATCTTCTGTTTTTTCTTTTTTTAATTAGATCTTCTTGGGGATTCTTTGCTAATCTTACAGTAGCAGAGGCTGAAAGTTTGTTAAAAGAAAAAGGAAATCATGGAAGTTATCTTTGTCGAAGAAGCACTTCTTCACCTGGTTCTTACACCCTTTCTGTTAGGCAAGTAGATTTTTTATTTTTTTTTATTTTAATATATTTTAAATATCGTTAAATAATTTTTTTTTTTAAAGACGCCAGAAGGAGGTTTGGAACTTTAAAATTACCAATGATGGAGAAAGTTTTGGTTTGTATGAAAATGATGGATTTGCTTCTGTACCAGATCTTATAGAATATTATCAACATAATCCATCAAAGTTCCTTGACCAAAATAATAAATCAGTGGAGTTAACAGAACCTCTTATTGATGATAGTGAAAATGATCCTGGTCTATCACAAGAAAAGTAAGAATTTTAATTCAATCTTTTTTTTTTTACAATACACAGTATTTTAGTTTATAACAAATTTTTTTTTCAGACACTATTTTAAACCGTTCGTATTTTGTATTTTTATTGCAGATGGTTTTTTGGAGAAATAGGGCGAGGTGAAGCAGAATTAATTTTAAAGCAAAGAGGGGAACATGGATCCTATCTTGTTCGTGAAAGTCGAACACAACCTGGTAACTTTGTTCTATCAGTAAGGTTAGTCAGCCTAATTTGGAATTAAGAATGTTTATGTTTGCAATTTTTTTACATATATCATTTTTTTAAAATACTTTTTAAAATTACTAATAAAATTTTTTAGGCACCACAATTCTGTTATTGAGTTTTTGTTGATATACAGTGATGGTGCATTTGATATTGCTAATACAAAGCGATTAAAGTTTCCTACTATGACTCATCTTATAAACTATTTTATCACCAATCCTCTTATTCATAAAGATTCAGACCAAGCAATTCATCTTATTGAGGTATGTGTTGGACTGCTTTATTATAATAAACCATTTATAAGCAATTCATCTTATATACATAATACATTTTTAATAGTTTTTTTTTGAAGTTAACAATTGATTTTACTGAGGAATGAACGAATGAATTAATGAAGCTCGCTGTAATTAAATGAATCTTTTTATTGCGTTACCAAAAATTGTTCATAAAAATTCTGACCATCAAGATAAAACGTTCTGCAGAAAGTATTGAGATTAAACGTTATGGTTCCACATGAAGTATTAGGCAACTTTAATTCAGTAGTTTATTTAAAAAATAGAATTTTTAGTATTATATTAAAGTTATTATCCACGTTTTTATGTATGATACATGTACACATTACACTTATATTGTATCATCCGTGTACACATTTTACTTATATTGTATGATACATGTACACATTTCTTATTTTTAATCTTTATGATTAAGATATACTAAAGTTTAAAACTGTCCAAAAAGTTTTTTAAGAGTTTTAGCTATCAGCCATAATGTTGAACAAAGTTTGAATTGAACAAACACAGAAATAATTAAAACAAACACTGTCATCAAAATTTTGCAGTATTTTTTTAAATTATTGTCAAGATATTTATTTTTAATAAGTTTTAAACATGTTGAAGAAATTATATTTATTATATTTATACATAAATTTGTGTAAGTGATTGCTTGTTCATTTTAGCCTCTTTGTGATACTGCAGAACGTCTTAGGAATGATCAGAGAATTAAAAAAGAATTTGAGGTATATTTATATATTTATAGTAATTAGTTGCTGTTTTTTGATCATATTAATTAAAAACGATGTTAATGAGATAACTTAGATTAGTTTTTTTTAATGACATTTTTTTTATTGACATTTTTAATTCCATAGTGGTTACAACATGAAGATAAAGCCAACACGAATACAAAATATGAAGGTTTGCGTCCTGAAAATAAAGGAAAAAATAGATACAAAAATATTTTACCATGTATGTTCTTTTTTAAATTACTTTTAAAATACATACATGTATTTTTTAATGCTAAATCGTGAACACTAAAAAGTTTTTCCACAACAAAATCAGGCAAAAAATCTATATAAAAATTCAATCAATCAAAAAATCAGGCTTGATTGCAAAAAAATTAAAGTTATTGATATACTTAAAAAATAAAGTATAAAGTTTTGAAAAACAGTTTAGGGATAGTCCATAAATTACGTAATGCAAAGTTTCACAAAAAACAAAACAAAAAAAGATCAAAAGTTTTCCCTCGCAGAGTCTTAATTTAAATGAAAAATCAAAATAGGAAATTTAGTTAAATCAAAATCCCTGCCTAAAAGAGCCTAATATCTCCTATTCCTGTTTTTAAAATATTTTTTGCGTTGCGTAATTTATGGAAGATCTCTTATGCCAATTAGTAAAAATAATTTTAAGCAAGAAAGTTTTTGAAAAAATAAGTGGCTTTTTTTTATTCTTTTTTTTTTTTTTTTTTTTTTTTAATAGATTGTTAAGGTATTTTTTAAAAACATTAAAAAAAATAAACATATGCAAATGATTAATTATGATTTTAAAAATAGCAGCAACATACTAATTTTTTTAAATTTGTTTAAAATTATTTTTTATTTGCTTAATATGTGTATTTTGTTTGACTGTTATGTTTATTAAGTTTGTTAGTAAAATGGGCAATTACTAACTTAATTTGTTTTTATAAATACAATAAAAAAACTGCACAATCAAATATTTTTATAAACTGATGACATTTTTAACAAATTGCTTGATTAGACTTTTTAATATGAAAATTAAAAGATTTTCCAAATATACTTTTTAAAGTTTTTGTTTTTTTAAAATTATAATTTTTATAAAAATTAAAAGCTATATTTTTTAGTACAATATTTAGCCTGGTACCTATTAAGTATTTATATTAGGTGAATTAAAGCTATTAGAATAATTTTGATAATTAAGAATTCATTAAGGGATTGAAATTTCCAATCTTAATACTTCAAATGTTTTACCATTGTTTATTTTTCTGCAATTATATTGTTTATCTCTCTGCATATATATTGTTTATTTTTCTGCCAATAAACTCATAGCTAATGCATTTTATGTTTTGTTTTGTTCTTTTTAATTACACTTTTGCAATTTAAAAATTTTGTTTATAAAAAATAAAAATATTATGGCAAATACCATAAATAAAAGCTCATTTACAATGAATATAAATTATAAATTTACTAACAAAAAATATAAATAAATGCAAAATGACCGAACGTATTATAGTAAATAAACTAGTATTTCACTTATACAAAATTGTGGGAGTCATGATAATTGCATGTTTTTTTAATTTATAAGAAAACATGGCATCTTAACATTTTTGTTATTAAGGTTATTATTGAGATTTATTTTACACATTAATATTAATTAGTATTAATTTATGTTTTAAAGATTAGAAAAGAAAGCGAGCTAAAACATTCTGTTAACATTCTTCACGAACGCGTGTAACTATTTATTTTTTGTAGTTAAAATTTTTTACTTAGTTTAGATGTAGTCTTCTATTCAACCTGGATATTTTTTTCTTTTTTAGTCAAGATTTTATATATTTTTATTAGCCAGGATATTTATCTTATTTAGCCAGGATATTTATCTTATTTAAGTGCTTTTAGTAAAATTTTTTTTTTGAATTTTTTTTCATTAAATTTTCAATTATTTAAATTAAGTTAATTCACTTTTAAAAAAGTTTCAATTAAAAGTTATACATAAATTATTCTTTTTTTTTTAATGTTCATGCTGCATTACATAATATGTTCTTTTTATTTTTTTATTTTATTAAATTTTGTTTAAAATAAAAAAAATTTTAAATAGTTTATTTTGCTGTTTTTATTTTTTCACTTCCTCTTGAGAATGCGAAAAAATGAATTTTGATGAAATTTAATATTTATTGCCAAATTGTATACGTTGTATACAGTTTGGCAATCATTTAGCCGTATTATGTAAAATACTTAGAAGTAAAAATTGTTATAAAAATATAAGTTTTGTGTTGCTACAATATCTAACCCCATTTTTTTTTCCAAGGTAAAAAATTTTTTTATGTCTACATGAAAAAGCCATTTCACTTTTTTTTGTGAATTTTATAATAAAATATTTTTTATTTAGGCAAAGATTACACTTTTTTAAGAATAGATTATAAAATTTACATGTTTTAATTATGCTCCATTTGATTATAAGTTTAATACCTGCTTTCGTTAGTTTCTGAACCTCCTTAAAAAGTTCTGTGTCATTTTAATATCTAACTAAATTAAAAGATTTTATGTAGATTGCATACCTGAGTTTAAGTGGGTTTTTGCTTGTAATATAAGAATTTTTTGTATGAATAGCGTTAGGTGATCTAAGAGTAACTTTATAAGCTAGACTTATAATTAGACATTGATTGTCTATTGAACATTTAGTTTTATTAATACAGTTACAGTTTATAACAGTGGTGTTTTTATTGTCAAAAGTTTGTTGGTTGTGTGAATTAACAATAGTTCTAATATTTGGCATACAGCTGTAATTTATTTTGATTGTGTTACCGTTAAAAAGCTTGTGATGGGGCAGAAAATGTTAGTCAAATAAATTGAAGAGGTTTCTATTATTTTGTTTTATACTATTTTAGTGACAAAGTTCGCATAATAGCATCATAAATGTCATCATGGTGACAAATATATTGCTAGTTTTTTTTATTGGAACTTTGTCATCCTTAAATAATAGAATTGTCTGTGATGAATAAAAGCCTTGTTCTCTGCATTACAACATTGTGATAGCAACACACTGTTCAAAAAAATACAGTTGATAAAAAAGCTTTTTATGTCAAAAATGAGGAATTGATTAAAATGTTAGTAAAAATTATTAAAATGTTAATAAAAATTTAGTAACTCATGTGTATTACTCTACTTGTTTATAAATTATCTCTTAAATTGATGTGGATGTATTTACTTATTTTTCCAATATTTTTCTTTGCTGTGTTAAGAAGATGAATAATGGATTTCTTTAAAAAGTTAGGTTTACGGTCTTCTAGTGTAATGAAACTGTTAGAAGATCGATTTAAATGGGTTTTTGTTAAATACATGGTTTTTAAAAATAATTTTTCCTTTCTTTTTCATGTGATCTTTCAATAATGATTTGGTTTTATTAAGATTAATTTGTTGGCATTCATCAACAATTTATTGTATTTATCTTTAGTTAATTAATATAAGTTAAAATCTGCTTGAGTGTAAGTATATTTAGACCTTCAAATTGAAGAAACATCATTTTTTAATTTATTTAGAAAGCTGCATTTGACCTTCCTAAATTGAATGTTTTTAATTATTTCAATCAACTCTTTTTTAAATGCACGCACGTCTTTAATATGCTGTGTTCACTGTGGTGTGCTAATGCCATAAAACATAATAGTATAACTTATATATAAGTTATATATATAAGTTATACTATTATGATAATATTTTAGATTTCAACAAGTGAAATTAGAATAGACTCACTATAACTGAACCAAGACTCAGTCCATATATATAGTGTGATAATATTCTACAGGTTGATTCTGAGTATCTTACAAATTTAAGATTGAGCGAAATAAGCCTTGGTCCTTCCTCCAACAGATGATTGAAAAAAAATTTCCTGATTTGATAGCATTTACATATCTATAAATGATATTAGCAACAGTAAATAAGCTTTTTATGTCTTTCTCATTAACTTTTAGGTGTTCTTCTCCAAAAAATTTTAGTTTTGTGTTATATCATTTATATACTTTAGATTTTTTCAAATTAATGCTGTTAATTCATCCTTGCTATTCATTGAACCATCAAGTGATCTATTTAAATGTCTTAACTTGAGTTCATTTGTATGTTACATGAAAATTGCCCAATAGTTTTTTGTTTTAATATTTTTTCAAGAATATGAATACCCTCTGATCATCCTGTGTTGGAATTATTTGAGTCTCCACTTTTTACTATGCATGATTTAGTGGCGTTGTTATTTTCAAATACTTCATAAAGTGCTTCAGCTATTTTTTTTTTGTGCAGGTTTTTCTGCATGAATGGCAAGTTCTGGCGTGATGTAAGCAAGACTCTTTTATCACTCTAGGGTGAAGTTTTTTCCATATTTATCTGGAATTAATAGGGATTATCTTTTTCCGGATATTTCCAGAATTAAAATAACTATTAGGTTTGCTGGATATTCAAAACATTTTCAATACATGCAAATTGAGGTATATATTTTTGTAATAAATTTATTTTTTAAGCTTTTTCACTCATCACTCATAGAAAAATTATAAAAAGTGTCAAAAATAAATAAAAGCAACTTAGTTAAAAGCGAAATTTAAAAAAAAAAAAAAGGAAAACAAATTCCGGGATTTTCCCGGATATTTTATTCAAACAATTTTCCGGATTTTTAAAATATGACTAGGATGATATATGAATTAACATGTTGGTAGTCTTTTTTTTCCATCATATGCAATTTTAATTTTATTATAATTATTACATTTATTAGCTTTTCAAATTGTTTCATGCAAAAAATAAGCTTTCATTAAATTATTCTTAAGCCTTCTCCTTTCGTTTGGATCAGCAGAAAGACATATTAAGAGAGAAATAAATTTCAGCTATTAAAGTCATTTATAGCTGAAGTGATTTAGGCTGCTGTGCCAATATCAGAAATATATCTTATTGCAGCTGATGCAGCATGTGTTACGTTCATTTTGTTTTTCATTAGAATTGCTGTGTTCAGTGTGGTGTGCTAATGCCATAAAACATAATAGTATAACTTATATATAAGTTATATATATAAGTTATACTATTATGATAATATTTTAGATTTCAACAAGTGAAATTAGAATAGACTCTAACACCACTGATCCTGCTGGCACTAAAGCCTTTAACTTCTGCGTTTCTCAATCTCTTACTCAGATAGTTAACTTTGTGACTCGTTTTCCTGACAACCCTAATCATTTACCTTCACTCCTTGACTTATGT